AATATAACTCTACACGCTGTGGGTGTTCGTAAAGATGACTTATATGCGATCTCACAAACTTGGCTGTTCGTGCTGCTCGCGTAAATTAGTAATACCCTAGTAATACCCTGGTTCTTTGCAGTCTATCAAACATTTTCAGGATGACAGCTCTGTCCAACGAATTCGCTTTGTCAATCAGTTCGAACTTCTTTTTTGTAATCCAGCATAGTCAGCTGCTTCAAAAAAAAAACATTTTCAGAAGTCAACAACTGCTTTAAATTTAATCACATAACACTTCATCATCAATAGCCGGAAAACACCTTATTTTGATATAAAAGTTTTTCAAATATATTTTGACAGAAAATTCAGCCTGGAAAATTTTTAAAATACATACTTAGGGGTAAGTCGACGAGCTCTATCCAACCATGCGAAAATATCGCTGAAATAAATTCTTGCTCAAAATTCGAATTGCCTGCACCTTACTAAAAAAGGTTCACTTATTAGTGACTATGAATACTTTCTCCCTTACACAAAAGAGTATCAAAAAGTCACTTTTTTGACAAATAATTTTTACATGGGTAAGTTTCCTAACCATGAACAAAAGAAAAGGTACCAGAGAGTCTCACAAAGAATCTTTAAGTTCGTTGTTTTTCAGATACTTCAAAAGGGTTTGAACTGAAAAATCTTGAAAATGATAAGCAGCAATGATGAAGATGTGACTTCATGGTTGTATGGTTTCAAATGTGGTGGTGCCGCTGCCAGTGTTGAAGACAGCAATTATTTTATGGTGAAAATTGGAATTGTTTATACCAACTCCTTCAGTCGTGTTCTTAAACGATTTTACGACGAACAGAGAGCTTTCAGATCTGATATGAATCTTAATATACACATTCCTGTGAAATACAGAGAGGAGGCTGAACGGGTACCCTCATCAGGAAGTAAATTTACTGGTGCGCAGGGAGAACTTCGCTTGACCTACCTCGACGAGCTCATCAGTGCATTACGAAACCCGAGAGATAACATGGATTCTAGACCTTCTGAAAATGTCAATCAATTACTGGAATTCGATGACTTGATGTTTATTCTTCCCTTTTTACCTAATGTTGACACACATGAAATTCGTTTGTGTGAATCTGTTTGCCGATATGCCTTTGGTGGAGCCATTTTGTCCGATTTTAAAATAGCAGCTGAAGCGCACAAAAGACAGCGTGACCCAGCCAGTACTACTTTCACAATACCATTTACGGAATTAGTACTTTGCCCTGAAAAAATTTTTGACGACACTCGATCCTTATTTATCGCGGAGGCGGTTCGAACTGCACAAGCTCTGTGGAAAGCTATACCAAGTTCCACTTTCCATAATCTTCACAAAAACACGGGAAATGGTAACACCACTAAAGTCACACTTTTTTGGAACATCCAGAATCAACATTCCGCCAAACAATCTATTTTATTTTCTGTTAAGACTCCAATCACAAGAGATATATTAAAGTTTCGAAGTTTCAATGACGCCGATGTATCTGACTCCGTTGCAAAATCACCTGAATAAAGATGAGGGTGTGGGTGTAGGCGTGTCTCTTTTAGCATAACTAACACCCACACCCAAATTGTTTTTGAATCTTTATGATAGATAAAGCCATCTGCAGAGTCCTTTAGCAGGGACGAAACGCGTCATGGCATCTAGTCTCACACCCACCTACACCCCTCCCCCACCCCACACCCTCAAGGATCTGTAAAAGGTGTTGTACAATATTTCTGTAGGTAGCCATTTTGATAGAGAGCTTAATGAACCGAATGTTTCCATTTTGATGTTCTCAGGGACGTACTTTTAATGTTTAGGAATATCAACAGAAATTTTTCCACTCCATTAAAGTATCCATGAAACAGCTTGTGATGCAGAGACAAGATTTTTCGACTCTCTAATGATCTCATTTTATTCAATGTTGGAAAAAGAATACGACTGCAAAAAATTTTACATCAAAAAATATGCCCGAATAATAGTCTTTCTTGGATACATAATTAGAGGCACCAACGAGTTTGAAAAAACATAACACTATAGCAATTTTTTCAGTATTTCTTCTCAAAAAACTTGACTATATCACTTGCAAAGTGACGACAATCATTTTCCGAGTAAACATAATGACCCCAGTTAACTATTCGGTTGTCAATATATCTCCTCAGCATATCGCAAGTTACCTCTCGTCTTAGTTGACGCACCTAGAATTTGCAAAAACAAAAGCGACGATTAAAAAGAGTAGGTTACTTAAAATTGTATTTTTACTGGTATGTTACGCGGCTGCCAATGACTGCTATTAAACTTTCGAACCTGAACATACAGCGCTGGAGAATTATCGTTATTGGAGTGTTCTCCAACAAGATGACACATGTAAACATTGCCATTTTCTATTCTGAAGATGACAAAAGCGTGTGATGTGGAAGTTATGTACTCGTAATAGTCCATAATGATATCGGAAGTATCAATCGTAAATGTCTCATAATCATTCAGTTCATCAGGTACTTGAAAATCCTGAATACGAAGACCATTCAATGCTAAATTGGCTAAACCACCACTGCCAGATACTGTAATAGAAGAAGAAATGATCTAACAGTAGGGCGATGGATTTCTAGTTACTACTTACTCGTCGAAAGACTTTGAAAAACTGCAACGGCTAATGCAGCCTGTTGTGAATTGCGTAGAAGCCATCGTGCGCCCTGAGATGACAACTGTAAAGTCGAATTTACTACTCGGTCGGATAGAGCTGCCGTAATTATACTAGTTGTCAGTAATGATTATTTTCCTCCCATTTTCCAAATAGCTAATACAGACAATTTTTTTCCTAATGAAGAACAATATGATCTGAAAAAGGAGACGTTAAAAAGAAATTGTTATCGACGCTTTTTGCTCAAATGCAGACATTTTTCCCACTTATTACCAGAATTGTTTATTCTCCTATTGTGTCTTTTTTTCTCTCTTCATCTTATAGCAAAAAAGATTAACGATGAGTGAAAAATGAAAACATGTATGAAAAGTTTGTCCATGTTATAAAATTAACTCGGTAGGTTCTTTTTCGATAATGACTAAGTTAACTTACATACCACTCGAAGACGCTCATATTTCTTTCAAAATCAGAAAGGCTATTGTTTTCGTGACACCCTTGAAGCGTGTCTGGGCTTGAGGGTGTGGGTGTTATGTTGCTGGTATATTCAAAGAAAAAAGATCATCACGTTTACATCCACACCCACACCCACACCATCTTGGTAGGTTATTCAAGATACTTCCTATTCTGAGCTAAAAAAGGTCCGACTTGATTTCCAAGAAATGCAAAATTCTTTCCAGATGAAATAAAAGACATCTTATCTGACCATTAAAAATGTTGTATATCAGTCTTGAGGGTGTGGGTGTGGGGTTACCAGAGTAGAGTATGGTTAGGCTCAGCCCAACCACCAAGGCTCTGCGCCCTACCCAGTGAAAAATATTCGCTGATTTCAATCAAATTATTGTGCAACAAAATCAAATCCGCAATCCGATTGATAATTTTGATTTTAATCGATCACCATTTAACCCAAACGTGATGTTATTGCTAGCCCAGTGGAGATTAGTTCGATTAAAATCTGATTGTTCTGTAGCACAATTCGAATTATCAATCGATTGACAATGTGGATTTTACTGGAAAACAATCCGAT